AAAAAAGGCGAATGTGATTGAACCTGGAACAAAAATTTTAACAGTATCGTCGAATCGGCCAGTGAAGAAGCCAGTACTTGAATTTAATGATGAAGGGGTATTCCTTGAATCCAGGTCTGACTATGAGAATAGCTTTTATGTGGACCAGTATATTGATGATGCTCATTGTCATTCTTTGGCCTACATGGCTAGTGTCATAGAGGCCAAAATTATTTCGGGCAAACGACGTATAGTCAAGTGCGATGATTGTGTTAAATCATTCATTGAAAATGAATTGATTGAAGATTCTTTTATACGTTTTAAGGCCCGAAGAAGTAATATAATGCAGCCATGTAGAAGCACTTTTGAGATCTGCAAATTTGTCAACACTTATGTCAAAAGCTGTGAAGAAAGAACGGCAAGCTATCAGGCAGTTGTAAACCAAATATTACGAGAAATTCGATATGAACGACTCTATGCAACAACAGACTTCGAGAAACACTCATCAAAGGGCCATAAATATGAGTTGGTGAAAAAAATAGTCGAGCTGTTTATGCATATGAAATCGGTACATATTGCAAAATGCTACACACTCGACAAACAAGAGGATCCTATTCGCCATTCAGTACGCAAATTAACTCATGAATTAGGACAATAAATATTACTTTTAATCCATAGAGGCACTAAAATGTGTAACTGCTAAAACCGACTAGACCATAATAAAGAAATAATAAAAACACAAAAAAACGTTATTGTTATCAGAAAGGTCAGGTGTTGATTGTAATAAAAAATATTGAATCTTCCTACTACTTTTATTTGTTTATTTCACTATAAAGTATTATCACAAATTGATAATAAAACAAACAAAATTCAAAGTAAAATCAGTCACGATCAGAATGTGTTAATACTGGAGATGAAAAAACAGTAAACCGATCCATGAAAATTATTATTATTTTTTATTTCGGAAATGTAAATCGATGTAAATAAGTTTTATCTCTAATATTTAACTTAATCAATGAGATTCATTATTTTGAAGAGCTAAATCTTAATTAATGAGATTCCGTGAAACTTATTGCTTGCTTGGGTCGATATTTTCCTTCTGTCCGTCGTCGCTTTTCTTTTCATCGCCCTTCTCCTTTCCATCATCTTCTTTTTTTCCATTTGATTTCAACTTTTCAAGTATTTTTTTTGCGTCGGCCAGCTGTGTTTTATAAAATTCACGTTCTTTTATTGTCTGGTCCATTTGCTTTTGCAAATTGGCAACGTCTTCCATTGTTTTCGTATTCAACCTGATTTGAGTTTCAAGCATGTCATCAGCTTCAACATTATCGCCAGTCTCTTGAGGAAGATTTTGATTGTTGGATGGCTGATTCGATACATCTTTACTGGTAGATGCGATGCCAATAGGCAACAGCTTTGGGATTGGCTTTTGAGCGACCTGATTTGGAGCACGCAAAGTGTCATTCTTTCCACTGAATTGAATCTGTTTGGGTAGCCATGGAACAGTTTTTCCAACGTAACCTGAACAAAAAAATATAAAATATTATTAGTGCCTTATATATTTATTTATGATACCATAAAGTAAATTATTTGAATGAGGTTAACGCCTACCATCCATTGATTTTGCGCGGCTGCGTCGACTTGCGATTGGTGTAGAACTGATGATATTAGTTCCAGTATCGTCCAACACCAGAGTAGAACCAACACTTTCAGCATTGTCAACTGAAAATACCGGACAAAAAATGAAAAAAATTGTAACAAACGAAATCCTAAGATAAATTGTTAAAAACCCACCAAAAACCGATTTGGCACGGCCACGTTTTACAGGTTGTTTTGGAGTAGAACCAACAGAAACATTTCCAGCATTACCACCTACAAATACCGAACAAAATATGAAAAAAAATTGTCAAATACAAAGATAAAATGAATCATGACAAAAACTCACTACGACGGCCACGTTTTGCTGGTATTGGAGTAGAGCCGCCAGAAACATTTCCAGCCTCATCGCCTGAAAATGCAAAAGAAAATATGAAAAAAAAATCACCAAAAATAAACCATAAAAACCCACCAACACGCGATTTTGAACGAACACGTTTTCCGGATTTTGCGGGTGCCACATTAGCAACTGAAGATTGTTTGCGAGATGTCCGCTTGACTGGTGAATCATCGCTATCCGATTTCTTATGATGACGACTAGTCTCATTAGGACGATGGGTCTTATGCCGACGATGATGTGAACGAGATCGATCCGATGATGAAGAAGAACGATCCGTTGACGAACTACGATGACGACGTTGATAACGGGAGGACTTTTTGCGGTAATGGCGTGAGCGAACCGGTGAGATGGACGATGAATAATGCCGACGACGATGAACGCGGTGATTTCGTGATCGGGATCGGGATCGACGTGAATGGTAATCAGAGTCTGATGTTGTACTACTTGTAGTACTTGGAGAACGAGCGCGAGAGCGAGACTTGTGTCGTTTATGACGCGACAATGACCGAGAACGCGATGAAGCATGGCCACGATGTTTAGAATGAGAACGACTTGTGGACGGACGAGGCGAAACAGTCGATTCAGACGAACTGGTCGATTTGCTATTGTCATTGAAATATTCAATGTTTTCGTTAAATTTAACCTTAGTTCCATTTAATTTCATTCTTATGTACCTTTCGGATAAAATTGGAAGAGAAACCGAACACGATTTCAGGATTTGTCTTCCTTTTGGTTTTGTACCCGTTTTTGGCGCGATTGCTGTTGATGTTGAAGCTTTGACAGCTGTTTTCGCTGCCTTGTTCGTTTGGCTTCTTGTTTTGGCCACTAACAATGCATAATAAAAATATGAGTTTATGCAAATAATTGTTTAAAATTATACACAATTTGGTTTTTTATAAATTAATTGTAAATATGGAAAATATAACTCACTTTTCGCAACTTTTCCACCCACTTGTTACTTTTTGAGGTTAACCGGTAAAATAGAAAACTACTTGGGCAGAAATTTTTTCATAAAATTAAAAAAAATAATTCACAAACGTAATATAATACAATAATAACTTTAATAGCACAATAACTTTAAAATGAAAATTATTATCACTTAAGTAAATTTTTAAGCACGAAATGTAATTGTTAAATTTTGCTGAAAAACACAACTTACCTTCTTGACATGAGAATCACAAAAGAAAGAATGACACTTGCTTTTTAATTTCGTTGCCGCCATTTTTGCGTTTAGTTACGCAAAGCCGTGAGATTTTGTAGATGGCGACAGCGAATAATTTTCTGACAGAACATATATGGGCTTAAGTGCGATAGTGTTGCCGATCGGGTAAAACCGCTGCATCGCGGACAACCGCAGTTGCATGGAGGCTGC